CTCTTTACTGAACAGACTCAAGAAGCTCAACGCTGCTGTGTTCGGAGATTTCGCACAAATTCAAAGCAGTCCACGCATGTGTGATGATTTGCAAATGCAGATTCAACGATTCATAAATACATGTAACATCATTCATAAATGTTTGATGGAAATTAATTCAAGAACTTGATATATACATATTTGTGTAAACATTTTAAATTTATTTAGGTAAGATGCTTTTGTGTGAGCATTTGGGGAAATATTTATGCTTTTACTTCTGTATTTATGAATTGTGTTTTGAATTTACGAATCGGATTTTGTAAATGTAAATTGTGCTGTGCATTTATGAATTTTGTTCAAATGTATTATTTTTGAGGCCGATCTGGCTCCATAGCGTCACACACGGCGGGCTTGAGTGTGCAGAGGCGGGCGGGCTTGAGAACAGCGCGGCCGGCGGGCTTTTTGAGACCTTCCTGGCAGGTTAAGATTCATAAATATCTTTTTTTGGAGGATGTTCCATTCAGCCAATCGCGGTGAGCTTTTAATCCACCCAATCAAAACACTCTTTACTGAACAGACTCGAAGAGAAAGGAAAAACTGAAATCGCATCATATGACCCCTTTAAAAGTCAGTTTTAAAAATAAATAAATGCATAAATAAACACTTTTTATTCTGCTATTACATTTTATTAATCAAAAGTGACAGTAAAGACATTTATAACATCTATTTAAAAAAATGCTATTCAAAGAATTCTGTTTCCACAAAAATATTAAGCAGCACAACTGTTTTCAACAATAATAATTATAAATGTTTCTTGAACAGCAAATCAGCATATTATAATGATTTCTGAAAGATCATGTGACAAAGTCTAATGATATTTTACAGTACTACTGTTTTTACTGCACTTTTATTTATAAATGCGGTCTTGAAAACTTCTTTAAAAATTAAAACCTACAGACCCCAAACTTTTGTAGATTTCCAAAAAAAATTTAAAAAGACACTACAACAGTATATAAAAAATGAATTTAATAATGCCACGTGTGAACAATAGCCCTAGTGATGACTATAATACAATGCTGTTTTTTCCCCCAAACATTACAGTAAGCAGAAGCCTCAAAAGTATTTTAAGTAATAAAATAACATCTGAAAGGTTTGTTACAAAGTTCGATCCCAAAGGACTGGTACAGTTTTAGTTGAAACAAGCCGTAGAGCAAAAGAAGAATATAAGACAGACAAGATATATTCTCTCTCTGCTTTTAACTTAGTGTTTCACTCTCTCATTCTTTAAGGTGAAACGTGTCATTTCTGCATCATTAGCAGCACTACATGGAATTGCAAAAGTAATTGTTGTTTCCAAACACACAGAATCCCACAGAGGCCATACATTATTATTATTATTCGGTCTCTAAAAACTTATTTCATGACCTTCTGTTTCATTATTTCTTCATTGTTTTTGCAACTATCCGCGAAGCCCCGTCCCTCTAGATTATTGTTAAATTGCATTTAAAACTACCCAAAAACAGATACTCCATAAACTTAATATAATTAATGAAAAAATTAAAACAGTTGCTAAGGTATGATTAATAACTACTGTTTTAAGGCAGGGCTTAGCGTTCATTTAATTCCATCTGGTGCTACTAGAATGACACAGTGAGTGCAGTTTTACTTTCACAATACAGTGCAAATGTCTATAGACTGGATGCGATATAAAAAATTTTACTTTTTTAATGACAAATTAAAAAGCACAGTCATTTTAAGCATTTGGTCATCTGAAACTGAATATTTTTTTGTATTTCCTTAATAAGTTGTAATTGGAGTTACTTTGTCTATGAGGCTCAGTGCTCCCAGCACGTTAGAGAGATACAGAGACAAATCATGCAGAGGATCCTCAACATGAGGAGAAGACATTTCCTCGACTCTATCAAAGCAAAAGCAGCAATAACGGAGAGAGCAGAAGGGACACTAGAGTGGAGGAGACTGAAGAACCACTCTGAGTGACTACAAAACACAAAGACCAACATAAGATCACAGGCAGAAACAAACATTCATGCAATAACCACAGCAAAGGGAAGGAGGAAGAGTATTGGCACCAGGACGTTTTGCGTTATGAGTGCATGTGATGGTCCGTCCATTTTCCAAGCCCAGGAACGACAGGACAACAGAGAAACAAGGTAAAAGGGAAATGGGAAGAGAGAGAAAGAGAGAAAAACAAGAGGCAGAAAAATAAGTCAAAGACAGAAACAAAGTTTCAAAATGAAAACTTAAAGTGGGGATAAAAAGGAAAATGAATGAAAGCGCAAGCTGAGGGTGAAAGAAAAAATGTGTGACAACAGTTGGGTCATTCTCAGTACTGCTGCCATGTACGTCTATGACTCAATACTTTTGTGATTGAAGGGATTAAAAATGAAATAAAAAAAATCTGATTATACAAACCATTTATATATGTGTGTGTGTGTAGTAGTAGTATATACAGTGGATGGAAAAATGTGAAAATATGATTTCAGCAGTAACATCAGAGGAAATGATGATACAAATTACATAAAAATGAAACTACATAAATAAAAATAAGACAATTTTTATAAGAAAAAAAAAGTTCCTGAAATGTTCTTGCATAAATGGCACCACGTCCTGAGAATGACCCAGTTAACAAAACAAGACATGCAAAAGCCCAGCAAATGGTTTTAATGGGACGGTGGGAGTTGTTTATTGCACTATAACGAGGATAATAACAGGACGATGTTACTGAAGATTATGCAAAACACGCAGAATTAGCACTTCACTTTATAATGTAGACCAAAAACACAGTGTACCTCACAGCCCACACAGCGAGTAGCAGGGAACAAGCTATTTATTATATTTTAAGCTAATTAGAGAGTACATTTAAATGACTTTGGGACCACAAAAATGGTCTGAAAAATGTCCTCAAAGACCTCGAGGTGCTGCATTAAACAAACCACGCTCTACAGAGCAAGCGGCTAATGAAGAGCTCAGTGCTGGGTAGTTTTGCTTCAGAGTAGATGAGAAATATGTGGAATAGCTGAATGCTAACAACAGCAGAGCAGCAGAACAATTTGGACCTGAACTCAATTATCTGTGACTGTGACTATGGAACATTTTATTTCATTATTTCATCTAGCAATATTTAAAGCATTAAAATGTATTTTGGAGAAACAATATGTTTCTGTGTGTCAGGGTTACTATAGTTAACTAAAATTGAAACGGAAAAATTAAAACCATAAAATAAATAAGTAAATAAATAATTGTGTGCATGTGTGTGTGTGTGTGTGTGTATATAAACAGCTAGTTACTCAATGTAATTTATTTTAACTATGATTTATACATATATATATACACACAGCAAAAAAAAAAAAACTACAAAACTAACTACAAAAACTACAAAAAAGACAAAAACACAACAAAATTACCAAAAATTTACCAAGATTAAAATGAAAACAGAAAATAAAAAAACTGACTCACAATATTAATAAATATAGCTGTTTCGCAATGATACTAAAATAAGATGTGTGGATATTATATATATAATATTATATATAAATTAATTTTTAAACAATTTTATATATTTTATTTTTTTTATATTATTTTGTTCATTATACATTCATTATTAACTGTCAAACAAGTAAAAGGATGCTATTTCATAATATTTAAGGTTAAAAACACCCACTGGGGCCAAAAAATGTCCCCTAAAAACTGTTAGTCTAGCAGAAAAGGATAAAGAGTCTGTACCAGAAGTTTACCATAAGGAGGGAACATATTTGTTGTGAAGAATATGCATCCACATTAAATAAATCTCTATTGTGATTGGAGCAGTTATGAAATATGCCTGTACTAACATTGTAGCTCCAAGATGTACACAGTTCATTAACAAACAGCAGAATAATGCATGAGTTCTTATAAAATATTCAGTTAAGAGGTTATGAAATGCCAAATATGATTAAATAAATTCACATAAGTTGCGGAAAATGGTTATTTTGAGTAAGTACATGCTCAAATGTTACTCAAAATAACTAAAAATATGAGTTGTAGTGGAGAAGCGCTACATTAAAGCACTGCAAAATGTTCCAGACTTCTAATACGCCAGCATCCAAGCTGTTCTCAACTTTAACGTTAGTTATCACAGTAAAAAATAAAACATGTTTAGTGAAGTTCTAGTCAGGAGGTCTCATTGGCATGCTGTGAGGAGTGCAGTTCTGTACTCCGAGGTGTGAGTGAGACAAACAGCCTTTGGATGTGAGCCATTCACAGCCTAGTATGCCAAAGAGAGCGGCGATTCAGCCCTCCTACGTCCAGAGAGCCGTCTCAGAGTGTTAATGAGAGAGAGAGACAGCGAGGGACAGACAAAGTCTCTTTGCATAAAGAAGCACCAGATGCTTGTTACATTACAAGTGAAGCAGTGAACCCCAGCTGTGGCCCTGGCACGCCTGACCAGACCGCAACCCCCAGCTTCTGGGTAGCCGCAGCACACTAGGCAGGGTTTGTAAACAGAAAGTGATTCTCCATCAGGCGGGGGGAAAGGAAGATGCACTGGGCTAATGCCCTGCTGCTAAAGCTGAGGGTTAGCCTGGTCACAGGTGAATGGAGGCCAAGTCAATAACATTAAAGAGACGGTGACTCAGAGTGTACCTGCATGTGAATGCAAGAGGTCTGCTGATTCTTTTCTTAGAGAAATACAACGTGCTTCACAAAGTGAACTGACCATGCAAGACTTATTATTACTTCTTTCCAAGAAGCAATGCTGATTTTGTTGAACATGCAAAAGGTCAATCCTGTATAAAATAGTTACTACATTAAAATAGGGAACATGTTGGTAAAATATCAGATATTGGCCGATATTAGAAATTGTAGAAAGTGATTGTATTAATTTGTGATTTTGAAAAAGAACTCTAATGAGCATTTGCTGAATAATTGTCATCACGCTTGTTTGTGATCAAAACTGCCCTTCTGTCTCCCCTACTTTACATATTTGGCTACATCTAAAACAGCTCAAATGGCCAGCTCTGGTATAGCCGTCTCGCACTAATCTTACGTTATAGAAATATGGCATAAAAAATCCCATATGAACCCGCCAAATGTTTTGCCCGTGTGTTTCGTGATCTGCCATGTAGCATGACTCACTGTTTATCATGCAGCGTAAGTGATGGCCCACACTGCATTCACATGTTTGGTGTCATTACAGCTCTGAGTCAGCTGTTAAAATCAGTGTGCTTGAGACCGGCGGCGAGGGTGAACACAGAGAAGGAGGGATGGAAGGAGAGGAGGAGGGAGGGACGGATGGTGGTTACCTGTGGTTGCTGCAGGCTCCGATGAGGTTCTGAAGGTCAGAGTGCCAGGCTTGGACTTGCCCTGCTGGTTCTCTGCCACCACGAACACATCATACTCGGTGTCCCACTCCAGCCCAATCAGCATTACATACTCGCTCACATTGGGCAAATGGATCTCGGGCTTCCAGTCAGAGTCTTCCCTCTGTGTACAATGGCAAAGCATGAAACTTGCAACCAAAATAAGGATCACTTAAAATATATTCATATTTGGATACTCACAGCTTTGTATCTGACCAAATAATGGGTGATTGGTGACCCTCCATCATCTTGTTTGGTCCATTTCACTTTGAGAGAATTCCCTTTGGGTTGTAGGGTGCCCTCTAGTATAGGAGGACTTGGTTCTCCTACAACAACAAACCAGTTACAATGACGTGAGAAAAAACATGGGAATTTTAAGGGACAGTTCACCCAAAAATAAAAAATTCTGTCACCAATTACTTACCCTCATGCCATTACAAACCTGTAAAACTTTGCTTCATCTTTGAAACCAAAATCATCCACCAAATCTGTACATCAAACAAGCTTCTGTTTATCATATTGGATGTGCTCCATGCATTTAGATCCAGTGCATTAAGAAAATATTCAGACCCCCTTCACTTTCTTACATTTTATGTTGCAGCCTAACACTAAAATTGTTTAAATTCATTCTTTGAATTTAAACAATTGTAGCATCAGGCTGCAACATAAAAATTTTAAAAAGTGGGTGTCTGAATACTTTCTGAATGCACTGTATGAATAAAAGCTTAAATAAAATCTGTTCATCATATAACGTGACTTCACATGTCACTTCAGATGATTTTGATCAAACCATTTGATTCATATGAACTATTTTTATGATATGTTTATAAACTTTTTGAAGCTTAAAAGTTTGGGTTGTGTGGACTTGCAACGGAGGGACAAAACTCTCAAGTTTCATTAAAAATATCTTAATTTGTGTTTTGAAGATGAACAAAAGCATTATAGGTTTGAAATGACACAAAGATGAATAAATGGCGACAGATTTTTCATTTTTAGATTAACTATCCCCTTAAAAATGAATATGTGTAAAAGGAAGAAAGGTCCAAACAAGAAAGGAAAATCAGCATTAAATATTGGCATTATTATGTGCAGTAACAGGTCGATATATAGGGTGATACTTGGCTATTTTGAGATTTTCGGCATTGACTGATAATATTGTCAATTACAGTATGTTGAATAACATAACTGTGAAAAAAGCACCAAAAAATAAAATATGGTTTTCAAACAGGTTTCTTCGAACAGTCCTCCATCTGTTATTGTTCAAATAAACAGGCAGTCACTCCAAACTACAAATAACTCATAACAATATTATTAAAGCAATAACATTTTCAATAAATGTTAAAATTCAGCTTTTTTATCCAATTAAATTAAATTACAAATTCATGCCATTCGACTTGATTCAATATTGAAACAAACAAACAAAAAGAAGCTTTAAAATTGTATTATGTATATCAGCATTACACTATTGGCCACCCAGATGTGAAGATATCAATTCTGGCCAATGAAATGGCAGTCAACCGCTAATTACGTGCATTAAAATGTTGGCAATTTTCCAACTGCCATTATTCTTAGCCTCCTACACGCCAATGATTCCATATAAGCGAGTAATAGAATAATAAGACACATGCTGCTTGGCTGTGGCTCCTTAGATGAGTAGGCTGATTTTTGGAGGTCACGGTGAACTGTGAACATCCCTATAGAGCAGTCATGTGTATTAGCGCACTGTGAATTGGGAATATTTCTATGGCGCTGTTCACTGAGGCCTCTCCTTCACGGGCCATCATGATCCATTTCATTTTAATGACCAGCGAATGCTCGTTTGATTCACTACATTAGTTTGACGCCGCAGAGTGACACGTAACAACACTGCAGGCAGAAGCTACGTGTGTACACTGCGGATGGAAAAATGAAGGCATTTACTCTCATTAAGGCAGTAATTAGCTATTAGCCTGTATGAGAGAGATGCTTTCATTCACACAATCTCAATTTACAGGTCTTTTTTCTTTCATTTTGTTTGTACTTCTTGTTTAGTCCGATATTATTCACTATCATATACATTTTGTCTATGCAGTAGTGAAATGATTAACTCTCTATGGATCTTCTCCTACAAAACACTACCGTAACTGCAAAAACTGAATGAGATGTGATAAAAATGCAGTAATTAATCTTAATGTGTTCTGAGGTCATAAAAGTACAGCACGTAAAATGGCAGAAGCCCCACTAACTGCTGCGAGGAGCTCCAATCCCAAACAATCAGCTCAATTAACAAGCAGCTATTCTACTCGACTGACAGTTTAAAGGGTCATCAATAAACACTCATCTCTTAAATAATGAAAGTGCAGCACTGCATGATTAATTCCATCCTCCTTGGCCATCTGTCCCTACAGGATACAGTGAATGAAATTATCATATACACAAGGGAGCAAACAGCAGTAAATTAAATGAGACTAAAAATAAGAGTTTTACACGTTTGCAAATGAACTTGCATGTTCATTATCTTAATGGCAGCTACATTGAGATATTCTGGGGGAATTCACCAAGAATGAATAAATGCACCATTTATTTGTACGCGCTTGACTGCGTTGTTTTAGCAACAGATTCTCTAAAGGCGTTATGCAAATTAATATCTCAAACACGCCCCAAAACGGCCTAATTTGCAGGTTGCTAGTGAGTACTGGTTTGCAGAATTGGGCTTTCAATTCCATCAGTTGGAATTTGAGCTGAATTGGCCACAACCACAGGATATTGGGGCATATAAGCCTTTATAAACTTTTAAAAAACATTTTTTACAACATTGAAAGAAAAAAATGCTACATTCTTTGAAATTCATTTACTTGCATTCAAATTCGAACTGAAATTCTGCAGACGGTTTGATACCTTACTTCAAATTCTGTAATCAAATTGGAATTTTCAAAGTCAATTCAGTTTAAACTGGCAATCTATCATGACCCTTGTTTACATAGAAAGGAGGCATGTTAAAAAAATAACACTTAAACGAATAGTTCACCCAAAAATGAAAACTCTTTATCATTTACTAACCACCATTCCATTCCAAAACCATAAGACTTTTGTTCATCTTACGATCCTGATGCTGCGTTAAAATCGTTTTAGCTCTAACCCTAATCAAACACACCTGAGCATGCTAATCAATGTCTTCAGGATCATTAGACAATCACAGGAAGGTGATTTTGATCAGGGTTGGAGCTAAACTCTGCAGGAAAGTGAATCTCGTGAGCCAGATTTGAGGATCCCTGGTCTAGTAGGTAAGAAATTTGGTTTGGGACTTGCTTCGCGGCTGTTAATAAAAAAGTAATGTGTGCTATGTTTTCATGTGACCAGTTGCGTCGCTTTCACAACTCCCATGGCATCATGGGATAGTAAATTCCCTTATCTATTGGATGCACACTTCAGAATCTTGCTGAAAGTAGTAGGTCATTTAGGTACTTTTCGCCCACTATTTTATGAATACTATGAATTCAGACGTACTACTCAACTCACATACTGCTTTTTGCCTAGTATGAAAACAGACATATTGGGTTGTAGGGTATGTTTTTATGAACTTTTTGAAAATTTTGGTCACATGGATTTTTAATGAGTGGACAAGAACGATCAGAGAATATCAAAAATGCCCATATTTGTATTCCGAAAATGAACAAACGTCTTATGAGGGTGACTAATTAATCACAGAATTAAAATTTTTGGGTGAACTATTACTTTAAATGTACATGGCACTATTTAACTGCTTGAACCGGATTGTGTGTGGTTTGTGAATACGACGTAAAATGGTGCAACTATTAAATAAATTTGCCCCTTTTTGTCTTATAAAAAGACAAGCAAAACAGACCAATATACTCCAATCACAGAAACATCGTAAAACCTACATCATTATTCAAGGTGTGCAAGCAAAATAAGCAACTGTGCAATGAAAAGAAAGGCGCAATATTTTTCTGTACAGAGTCATCATAAAATTTACATGCAGGCAAAACAACCGATACATCAAAGGACAAACTTTGGAGAGGAGAGGAGGACCCTTCTAAAAGGTTCAAAGGTGTGTTGAAAGGAAATGCAGTACTGTGAAAGTTACTGAAACATGCTTGAAACCGGAGAATAAATAAACCATTGAAATCAACCACTCACAGCGTCTACTGTAGCATTTTTTAGGGCTTTCCTAATCTGGATATAATTGTACACTGGTAGCAGCATATCCAAAGCAGCACAGGATGAAAGGACGTCAGTGTAGAGTGTCTGTAAACCCGCTGCTTGTCAAAATGTTTAGACTGAACATAAAAGAGTGAGATCGTCGTACCCAGCGATCGCTCTGGGGAAATGTTTTTCAGCTCCAGAGCTTTTGATGTCATTTCCATGGTTGGCAGGACACGGCATCAACTTTTTTTTTCTGATTGCATATTCACCACAGAAGATAATTTGTGCAGTCAGAGCACAGTGGTTGCTCAAGGGTAACAGTCTCCGTTAAAAATTGGGAATGGATGAATTTTCATGACCTGTCTGAGGGGATTTAATTCCAGAAATGTGACAGGAGTGAGTTATAATGGCTGCTTAGGGATGAATGCAGTGATTCCGATGCGAGTGAAGGCTAATACTGTACATGAGAGGATGGAGCCGGGCCCGAGTGTTTACCTTCTGCTCGTCAGTGTGGATGATGACATCGCCAGCACCATGCAAGCCACATGACACAGTCACATCATATGCACGCACATGATTGGTTGAAAGGAAATTGGAAGAGGTTGCATGAAAGATACAAAAATACAGACACAAATGTAACTATGTGAAAAAAAGAACAAGTCAAGGGTTAGCAAACTGCAGAGAAACATAAAACCAAGCAACTCAAAATGGCTTTAATTACAAAGATCACAACATTGAGCACAGAAGCAGAGACACACTGAGCAGGATTTCCTCTGAGAGATTGAGCATATGGTCTGGTTTAAACACAACTGAAAGGTTGTGGCTAGAAGGGATACAGCTAAAACCGGAAGCTAACAATAAATTAAATTTTCTACCTCTTAGATTGTGTTTTATTAACGTCCCCTACCCCAACCCTAAACCTACCCCTTACAATAATGCAAAAACAGTAATTATTGTTGTAACAAAAATTACGCTATATTGATGTGCGCATGCCCAGTAGTTTTAGCTGTATACCCTCTAGCCTTAACCCAACTGAAAATCACTCAAACCAGTTCACTTGTTACATATTCTGAAGAAAACGTAAGTGGTGATTGTAAAAACCTGGTGTGGTGTGGCAGTTGCTACGAAGTTGCTATGCAGCTGCTTGGCTGTCACTGTGTTGCTATGCAGTTGAAAATTTGTTCTGTAGAATGTAGTGTGTTGCTAGGGTGGTTACATGGTTACTGGGGTGTTCTTGGTTGTTGCTATTTGGTTGTTGAAGTGTCCTGAGTGGTTGAGCATTTCTTTTAAAGCAGTTGCTAGGGTGTTATTGGTGGTTGCTATGCAACTGCTTGGGTGTTCTTGGTGGTTGCTATGGCACTGTTTTCTGAGTGATTGTCAGTGCGTCGGTTGTCAGTTTGTTGCAATGCAGTTGAAAGTTGTTCTGTTTTTTTGTGTTGTTATGCTGTTTGTAAGGTGTTCTTGGTGGTTGCTATGGCACTGGTTGTTAAAGATTTCTGAGTGGTTGCCAGTGTGTTGGTTGTCAGCTTGTTGGTATGCAGGTAAAAATTGTTCTGAGTGTTTCTTTGTGTTGCTATGATGTTTGTAAGGTGTTCTTGGTGGTTGCAATGGAGTTGCTAAAGTGTTCTTTGATGTAATACAGTGTTGCAACAGTTTGTGGTTGCTACAGTTTTCCCAGTTGCCAGTTGCTGTTAACCATAATGAAGTTGTTCAAATTGGTTCTTTCTAAGCAGTTGCTAGGGTGTTCTTGGTGGTTGCTATGGCACTGGTTGATAAAGACTTGTTAAAGTGGTTGTCAGTGTGTTGGTTGTCAGCGTGTTGGTTGTCAGCTTGTTGCTATGCAGCTGAAAACTCGTTATGAGTGGTTCTTTGTGTTGCTATGCTGTTTGTAAGGTGTTCTTGGTGGTTGCTATGGAGTTGCTTGGGTGTTCTTAGTGGTTGCTATGGAGTTGCCAAATGGCCCTGTGTGGTTAATATGGTGTTGCTACAGTTTGTGGCTGCTACAGTTTTCCCAGTGGTTGCCAGCCTATTGCTATGTGCTTGTTAAGTTGTTCAAAGTGGTTCTTAGCGAGTTGATATGCTGTTTCTAAGTTGTTTTTGGTGGTTGCTATGGAGTTGCAATGTGTTGCTAACGTGCTCTGGGTTTAATATGGTGTTGCGACAGTATGAGGTTGCTACAGTTTTCCCAGTGGCTGTTAACTATAGCCAAGTTGTTCAAAGTGGTTCTTTCTAAGCAGTTGCTAGGGTGTTCTTGAATGTTGCTATGAAGTTGCTAGGGTGTTCCTGGTGGTGGCTATGGCACTAGTTGTTAAAGACTTCTGAGTAGTTGTCAAGGTGTTGGTTGTCAGCATGTTGCTATGCAGTTAAAAATTGTTCTGAGTGGTTCTTTGTGTTGCTATGCTGTATGAAAGGTGTTCTTGGTGGTTGCTATGGAGTTGCTAAAGTGCTCTGTGTGGTTAATATGGTGTTGCTACAGTTTGTTTGCTACAGTTTTCCCAGTGTTTGTCAGCCTGTTGCTATGCGCTTGCTAATTTGTTCAGAGTGTTTTTTTGCGTGTTGCTATGTGGTTACTGTGGTGTTCTCAGTGGTTGTTAAAGTCTTGCTAAGTGTTCTGAGTGGTTGTTAGTGTGTTGCTAGGGTGATTACATGGTTACTATGACGTTCTTGGTGGTTGCTGCTGCATTGCTATTTGGTTGTTGAAGTGTTCTGAGTGGTTGTTGGAGCCTTTCTTTCTAAACCGTCTCTAGGGTGTTCTTGGTGGTTGCTACGGCACCAGGTGTTGCTATGTCGTTAATAGGGTGTTCTTGTGGTTGCTAAAGTGTTGTTAAGTGTTCTAAATGTGGTTGTTAGAGCATTTCCAAGCAGTTGCTTTGCTGTTGTTGTGAGTGCTTCTTGTTGTGTTGCTATATAGTTTCTAGGGTGTTCTTGGTGGTTGCTATGGTGTTGTTATGTGGCTGATAAACTGTTTTGGGTGGTTGCTATGGTGTTGCTATGCAGTTGCTTTGTGCTTGCTAAATTGTTCTGTGTGGTGCTTAACTTGCTGGTTGCTAGGCTGGATGCTAAAGTTAGTCCATTTCTAAGCAGTTGCTAGGGTGTTCCGGTGGTTGCTATCAGGTTGCTAAAGTTTACTGAGCAGTTGTCAGTGTGCTGCTTAGGGGTGTAATGATACACGTATTCGTATTGAACCATTCGGTACGAGGCTTTCGGTTCGCATTACAAACTGAACGATTCATTTGACTAATCCTATTACATTTGGAAAATAAAAGAGCTTAAAGAGTGTGAAATATAATGTTCTCAGTGCCACTGCGCTCAACAAGACCCAAATGAAGCGTAACAGGCAACGTGTTGCGCCAGTGGCGTAGCGGATGGGCATGCGATAACCTCCCCTTGCTGGGTTGTGTCGAAAGACAATGATCTTGTATCGACGATAGCCAGAGATATTGTCAAAAACATCAATTATTGGTAATATTAAGAAGATTTTGGCATTTCCAATTAATGTAAGCCTGTTACATTCTTATTTTTATTAGGCCTATTATTATTATGAAGTTACTTTAATTATTCATTTAAAATTACAATTAATTTGCCCCGCAATATTACCGCATAACTAACGCGCTGCGAGGATAACAACTGATTAGGCTTTACTCCTCAATTTACTCCTCAATTACCATGTTTTTTAAAATAGGTCTATTATACAATGAATTATAGACCTATAATTAAAATATTAACACTGCAGTCATCAATAAAAATCAATGAAATAAAAAGCTTTAGCCTATTTTAAGCACCGACTTTCAAAACAACTTGTTTAACACAAAATAAGTTTCTTCTCTTTTTTTTCTCTATGTACGGCCACAAGAGAAATATTAAGGGACTAAATTAAAATGTATTTTTATAAGTTATATAAAAACGTAATAAGTTAATAAATAAAATAAATAACTTATTGTTATCAGCATATGTTGAAGTTGATTCGTCTCTGAGAGAGAATGCGGCGTCAGATGCCGAAAGCTCCATCATTACTCCGTCATTCCGTTTTTACTTTCACTTTCTGCATAGTGAATTGACTGAGATTAAGATGTTCAATGACATAACTCTTGCATAAAGTTTGCATTTTGCTTATGTGATATCCATTGGCTCGCCTTCATGGCTTTTAAAAATAAATATTTCCAACATTGTGAAGTAAGCAATTACAAGCAGCACATTTTGCAGCACAATTTGAGGTGTTATTTATGTGCTCAGCACAAACGGTATGGGATAAGTTACATATTCAAGTTTAATACTTAGTGTTACAGGTTTGTTCAAATCCTGTGATGACTGCTTTAGTAAACACTACTGATAAGTTGTCAAATCATATTTCTCAATGAAAAACAGAGGAAACACTGAAGTATTGATACAATACTAAAGGATCATGCATTAGTTTTAGGAAAAAGCATGCGATACTGTAAACACATCACACTGGATCTCAATCGCTAAAGAAATATTTAAAGTTGCTAAACTTTAAATACTTCATGTGTACTAATAATTGGATTAACTCTGTGTTGCCTAAAGATAAAGAAATGTGGAGGCTTTTTGCAACCACAAAACTAGAACATTATGTAATATCAACTCTTTATATTACCTTCAGAAGGATTTTCTTGGTTTCTGTTTTAAAGTTCACTTCCAGAATGAAAATTTCCTGATAATTTACTCACCAACATGTCATCCAAGATGTGCATGTCTTTCTTTCTTCAGTCGCAATGTTTTTTGAGGAAAACATTCCAGGATTTTTCTCCATATAGTGGACTTCAATGGGAGCCAGTGTGTTGAAGGTCCAAATTGCAGTTTCAATGCAGCTTCATTGGGCTCTACCCAATTCCAGCTGAGGAATAAGGGTCTTATCTAGCGAAACGATCAGTCATTTTCTAAAAAATAAAATTGTATGTACTTTTTAAGCACAAATGCTTGTCTTGTACTACCTCAACATTACATAGTCATGTTGGAAATGTGACTAGGGCTGGACGATATGACAACATCAAAACCTTGATTAATTAAACGTTTTACCTTGATTACGATTAATGAATAATTATTTTTATTTATTTATTTATTTGTTGCCCTCATAGTTATAAATATGAGTCATGATCACTGTTGCATGTGATCTTCCTCTCAGGATCTTCCTGTCCTGTCACTCTGTCTTTTCATCTAAAACACGAGATGCAGCGCTCATGAATGGTTAAAAAAAAAAAAAGTGCAACGCAGAATGCCTACTCTGCCAAATTGCCATCAAATACAAACGTTGCCATGCCAACCTGCTACTGTAAACAAAAGCTTGCAATGCTGGCCCAAAAGACGTGAGCGCAACGGTCATACACGTCCGTATAGCGCTGACAAAATACGCAGTACTATGTTCTTAATGGGAAAGTATTAACAGGATTAAAATAACGAAATAACTGACATGGGAAAATTACGTCAGTTAGAGGTTCTGAATTTCGGTTTCGATTTCTTTCCAATTAATCATCCAGCCCTACGCGTGACGTAGGCGGAAGTACCGACCCAGTGTTTAAAAAGCGAACCTGCAAAGAAATTCAAATGCACTTTATAAAAAAGGTAAACTACGATGTCGGACTATTTTGAAGTTGGAGGAGAAAATGAGATGGAGTTTGTCACCTTACCCTACCTTTTTGAAACCGAAGTACACAGACAAAGAACTAACCACGTGTGACCTTTCCAACATGATTACGTAATGCATGAGGTCGGGCTAGTGCAAGATGATAATTTGTGGTTAAAAAGTATATCATTTTGAATTTTTCTTAGAAAATGACCGATCGTTTCACTAGATAAGACCCTTATTTCTCAGCTGGGATCACGTAGAGCCCCTTGAAGCTGTATTGAAACAGCAATTTGGAGCTTCAACCCGTTGGCCACCATTGAAGTCCAGCATATGGAGAAATTTCTGGAATGTTTTCCGCAAAAAAAAAACCTGATTTCTTTGCGACTGAAGAAAGGAAGACATGAACATCTTGGATGACATGGGGGTGAATAAATTATCAGGAAATTTTCAATCTGGAAGTGAACCACTCCTTTAATATTATACAATCATAACTGAAGATCATCATACAGCTCTATAACAAACCTGTGTCCTCAGTGTGAAAATGAAAAATCCCATCTAGGGAGCACATGAAAAAAGAAAATGTTCACTTTTATTTTGTTTGAGGAAAAGGCTAGCATATGAACTTAAAGACCCCATAAGAACACATGACGAGCCAAGTTATTGTATATCCTAATATAACAGGAAGTAGGCTTTAGTGTATGTTAAAGTGATAGTTCACCCAAAAATGAAAATTCTGTCATTAATTACTCACCCTCATGTCGTTTCAAACCCGTAAGACCTTCGTATAAGACGTATATAGACGTAGCAAGGAGATCGGTAAAATAATCAATGTGACATCAGGGGTCACATTAAAGCCATAAAACTCTCATTTTGATTTCATGGGGTCTTTAAATCCTATAACCACCAGACAAGATATTAACAAATAATATGATAATATGAAGAAATATGAATGATATCAAAAGATAATGACCACAGGAGGAAATGAACACTTACTTGTGTAAGGATACCCTAAGGGATCCAGTGGAAAATGAAAAAAAATGAAGAAAAAAATACATACAAATGGGAAACAAAATAGGAGAAAATCACATAAAATGACAGGATGAAAAAAAGAAAAGTCTGAAAATGTCAAAGGGTAAAAGCTGGTAACACGATCAGACAGCAATACTCTCTCATCACTTATACTTTACCTGAGTTAGAGTCATTACTCTCTGGACTACATCCTGGAGATTTCGGCACTAAATGGGTTTTGTTTCATGTACTGACAGGAAATAAATCCCAGTGCACAATGTGTTGAGTGTATTATGTGATAATGGCATCTCTGGAAGTCCAAAACATCACACAAACAACCACCAGGGGGAGTAAGAGGGTAGGTGTGTGTGGTGTTTATACGCGATGAGAATATCAACACAAATCACAGGAATATTCTTGTAGTGTGCGATGTTATGATTGATTTTTATTGATGTTTTGTGGAATGTTTGCAGAATTTTGTCCTGTGTGAGAACAAGATGTTCTGTTCTTACCAGTCGGATTTCTCGTAGATGAATCAATTATTGATATAAGAAATCATTTATGTGACCAGTGTATATGAATGTGCTTAGCAGCAATAAACCTGGAAAGCATATATTATTTATACACAGTAATTTGCAAATGCATCAAGACCAATGTTCTCATTGCACTGAATTACAAATATTACATTAATATTCAGTCCTTTGTGATCTATTTCTATGCACTGAAAGTCAAAATGTACCAATTTTATATTCTTGTCAAAAATAATAGAAATATGCTGTGGCGGTTTTTATCTTACCTTTATAGAACATCCATAGGCTTCTACCTATGAATGATTAAAATAGCCACCAGGTTTCTCTTCATGATGAATAATACATAACCTGCATGAGGGCAAAAAAGGTGCAAAACACTGGATAGCCAAGTGGGAACTGTTTATAGGTTGTCAAAAACTGGCAACTACATCAAACCACCCTGGTGTCGCCTAGAAAAGGTGGTCCTTCAAAACTCTGACACCACAGACAGGCTAACAATTACTATGAAGGAGCGACAGAGTTCAGTTCAGTTCAGCTGAGAACAGAGTAAAGGTGAGCCAGTCAACCATATCAAGAGCTCTACATAATACTGGCCTGTACGGGAGGGAGGCACAAAAGAAGTCACTGCTCAAAAAGAACCATGCAAAGCCTGTCTGGAGTGCATAATAATGACAGAGTTGCAGTCAGATTATTTTTAGACTAAAATGTAACTTCTTAGATAAAAAAAAATAATAATAATAATAAAGGGAGAAATTTGAGAACATCATTTGAAAAAATCTATCTATCTATCCATCCATCCATCCATCTATCTATCAGAATATTTTATTATCTATTGTCTACTATTATAGTTTTTATAATTTTACATTTTTATACCTTTAGTTTTCATTTTAATGCTAGTTAAAGTTTTAGCATTTTTGATTTTGTGTTTTACATTTTTATTAGATTTTTTAATGTCTATACAGTTCTTTTTTTATTTATTTACTTACTTACAATTTTCTGAAATTATCTAAATTTAAGACTTTAACATTTTATTTTATTTTAGTTAACGTTTATTTTATCTCAAGCAACTTTTTAAATGGTTTTAGTTCTAATTAACAATAATAACCTGATACAGCATTAATTATTCATTAATTGATAAAAATACACACTTAACCTTTAATATAATGTCATTCTGTGATGCCGGATTTGTAATTCAGTAAAATGAGAGAATTGGTCAAGGGACTGAAAATATGTTAATATTCAAACTACTTAAGTCATTACGCCCTACTCTTTAGCACCATGAGCACAACTGTATATTTTAGCGTTTGCGTCAGCCAAAGACTTCACACTAGCTGGTGAAGAGGTGTGTGGGCCGTCACGCCACGCTGCGCTGCTGTTGATGGAACCATGTGCTCCTGAGAGAGAAACGTGATACTCACGGACATGCTCGGTTTTGAAGACCACTGACTGGCTGCTGTCGCCTTCGCCCTTGCCGTTGATGGCAGACATCTTGACTTCATAATCGGTTTCCGGTTTTAGGCCGGTGACTGTGACTGAACTCAGTCCTGCTGGGAAGCAGCGAGAAGCAGATTTAATCAAAAACCCATTCATTAATTCATAAACAACAGCATGCATGTTAAATGGGCAACATAAAACCTTGCCACTGAACATGAGGAAATACATTTGACATTTAAAGCTACAGGCGTAAAGTAGCTAAAACATAACTAAAATATTACTTAAAGGGATTTTTCACCCAATAATGAGAAGTCTGTTATCATTTATTCACCCTCATGTCGTTCCTTCTTCTGCAGAAAAGAAGATATCTTGAAAAATGTTGGTAACCTAATAGTTTTGGTTACCATTGACATCCACTGTAATAAACACTGTGACATTTCTCAAAAATATCTTCTACTGTGTGTTACATATAGACTTGTGCCGGTATTCGGTAATGCGATATATCATGGTAATTATATCGTGATAATAACGTATACCGTAATAAAAGCATTAGCAATTAATCGCAACATGAAAATTTGATACCGGCATATCCCTAGTTACATAGAATAAAAGTTACACAGGTTTGGAATGACAGGGTGAGTAAAAGATAACAGAATTTTCATTATGCCTTTAACATATATTACAGGGTCAATTTTATTACTTACGGGACAATTTATGAGACTTAAGCTGAACAAATTTCTAGTAAATTGTATGTAAACCATTTTTTAAATAAATTGTTTATTTTCTGCTTGTGTTTCATTACATGCAAACCAAATTCAAATTTATCAAGCAGTTCATTAAAAAAATTGCATATTAAACACAGTACGCTTTTGTTGCAAATTGATTCATTTTTTTTCTTTCAATCTAGTTAGAAGTTTCTGACACCCAAAAACAGACAATTTAGTTTTACTGAAGTATTGGCTGATGAAAATTTAGCTTTGACATCACAGGAATAAATGGCATTTCACAATAAATTAAAAACAAAATAGTTATTTTAAACTGTAATAATATTTCACAATATTACTATTTTTATTGCATTTTTGACCAAATAAATGCAGCCTTGGTGAGCGTAAAAGATTTATTAACAAAAAAAAAGCTTGAAATAAAATCTCACTGACCTGAAACTTTTGAAGTGTGTGTATGTTAATGTGACCACAGATGTGACATCAATACAATAACAATTTCTGAATTAATAATTTTGGTCACACTTTATTTTAAGGTCCAATTCTCGCTATTAACAAACCATTAACTATGACCTCAATAAACTCCTAATTTGCTGCTTATTAATAGTAAGGTATTTGTTAAATTTAGGTATTGAGTAGAATTAGGGATGTAGAATATGGTCATGCAGAATATGTGCTTTATAAGTACTAATAAACAGCCAATATGTTAATAATAGGCATGCTAATAAGCAACTAGTTAATAGTGAGAATTGGTCCCTATATTAAAGTGTTACCATAATTTTTAAAGTATAGTTTCCAAAATGGTGTGTAACAAATACTATATCTACATTATATACTTATTTCAAACGAACAAGGAAAATTCTGTGCTTCCATGATACAGTATAAGTCCATTATTAAAGTCTACAAACCATGCAGTGGTGTGGATAATCCACATAATATGGCTGGTTTTCCTCATTTCATGTGACAGACTCACCGTCTTTCACCTCATAGACTCGCTGCACCCCTTTCCCTCGGCCCACGGCTCTCCACTCGGCTCGGTACTTGAGCACAGGAACTCCTCCAGTGGACTCGGGCTCCTCGAAAAGCACCTGAGCCGTGCTGGAGTACGGCTGCACTTGAGTGATGGACGGCGCCGAGGGCACATCTGCACCACAGGGGAGACACTTCACAATACGGACAGCTGCACTTTAACAGCTTATGCCCGATTATATGGCCTGATTGTACGGCTTTGTGCTTCAGCACCACTTTTACAAGAGGAAAATTTGAGCTATTGCATTGCACTTTACTGAACAAAGTCTACAATTGCAGGTAATTCAAAAATACAGTACATCAAAAGCAAAAAGCACCCAAACACTCAATGTCAATGCGATTTTCTACTGCCATAAATGACTATATTGTGTTTGTTTTGAGATCAATACAGAGAAACAGACCAGCTGGGATCACGATGAACTCTTTGGATTCGGTCCCGATCTCATTGGAGGCAGAACAGTTGTAGTTGCCAAAGTCGCTCTGAGACTCTGCATTGACCTGGGACAGATCAAGAGAAAGCATTAACCTCTAGTCTCGATCTCAGCATTAATCTTTCAAACATGCATTTTATCACTGCCGTTCCATTAGATGTGTATTTACTTCTGACAGCGTTCTCCCTGTGCTAAAATATTGATAAGATGCAAAGGCTGCAGTAATGCCCTACAGCAACACTATCCCTTTCTGGGCAAAGCTCACGAAAACAGGCCCAGGTCACATTTCACCCCAAAATCAAAATAAATAAGGTAGGTAAAATATTTATAATATAGAAAACGAAGCTTGTTTTCAAATCCATTTGGATTGTAGCTGTTTTTGAACAAATCTTTCAAGTGAACAAATTGTTCTTGCATACATTGACTTCAATTTCTTTTTCACATGAAATGTGTGACTGCTTTCCTACCTTCAAAAACTAACTAGCATGAGCAAATAGCATTTGGGTTTATGCTGTAAGAGAAAGAAACATTATATTGGTTGGACCTACTGAATGTATCCAGGATCTGGGGTTTGGATAATGTATGGATGGACTGATGTATAATGTAATGTAATGTAATATAATATATAAAAAACACACGTCTTTCTCTTGATTTAGGGATGAAGTAGCACATATTCTTTGTCCAGTTTTATAAGATTTATCCATCTGGGTTTATGTGAATGTTTATGTTCTCAGGAAGGCGTCTGCGTGGGCCGTACCTCCAGGTAGCTGGCGGAAGGCGTGTTGTAGATCTTGATATTGGAGGTGTTAGCGTTAGGCAGCTGGAAGCCGTCTCGCTGCCACGTAATAGACACATCGCTGGGGTGAGCCAGCACTTCACAGCTGATGTTGGCCGGGTTGCCCTCCCACGTGTACACCGTTACTGAGCCCAGGATTTTCGGGGCGTCTGTGATGAAAGGCAAAGCATATAGAAACGAAAATAAACAAACCTGCTGCTAGTGCTGACCCTTCATCTACCTACCACCCATCTACATCCGCTAAGGGAGAACAAAGCCTCCCCTCTCATTACCGTCGATACCTTTATTCTGAAGATAAGCTGGTTAAAGATCAAAATATCCAGGGCTTAAACATAGAGTGCTGAAAACACAGCACTGTGTGATGTTGAACACATCTGTTCACGGCAGTGCATAAAAGCCAATCACGCTTCACTGGCTTCAAAAGGCCCCTCCTCCGAGCAGCATCCCTGAATAGCATGCTGGGGGGAGACTTTAGGCACGATTCTCATCTGACGTACGCGATCGGGCCCGCGGTCCCTCACAGACTGCGTGTGAATAGCTCCAGGCCCGCTGAGATACTGTTCTCACATTCATCAGAGCTTCAGATGTCAATAGTCCCATCACAACAATACACGACTGGTACAAATGCACTAAACATGCGAAGAGGGAGGCTGGTATTTTCACAGCATACGCCGGCGCTAATGTGAAAACAAATACAAACAGGCGCAGTGGAGGGAGCACAATGAGAGCGAAAATGGGCAGTAATGCTTTGCTTGCTATCGATTGCAATTAAAACATTGAGGGAAGAGAGTGCTCCATTTCTGATGGTACAGCAATATAAGAATCGTAGAAACAAAAGTAAATTGGTGCATTTTTGGTCTGAACTTTGTCTTTGTTAGCAGAATTTAGTGCTTAGATTAAATGCTACTGGACTCATTTGAGACAAACATAAACAAGATTAGGAGTTTGTTCACTAGTATAAATACGCACGGCATTTATGCAATGAAAAGACCAAACTTCTAGCATTAACTGCCTCATTTTCATTCATCAAATATGGCATTTATTGTTCTAACCAGGCATGATGCAACAAAACAAACAATAAATTTGGTCTCTTCCATGCAAATCTTAACCACTATTTTCCTAATCAGCCTTGATTAGCAACAGGACAATTTGTCAGTGACTAGGTTTTTTATTTTACACATCATGCTGGGTAATCCCACCCACTGTAAAATCTCATTGGTCTAAAATTCAGCTCTAGGTAGCTGTTGACCAATCAAATGCTGGTAATAATTGAATCCATTAAGCTTGTCTACTGTCAATGAATCAATTTCACCTTCAAAATGAAATTTTAACGGATGAAGATTTTCTACATATTAAGTAAAATAAATAAATAGATAAATATATTATACTAAATAAAGTGTACTGAAAATGTATTAGAAAAACACCAATATTAAAATTTCTTAAAAGTTGTTGTTTTTTTATTATCAGTATTATACTCCATATTGTATACGGTATATATCATCCAGTATTGGATAATTAATTGTGAATGCTTATTTCTTCTGTTCTTTACTTTTTGATCCCGTTTGCCATCATCTAACACTAAAGTCAATCTTTAAAAATAATAATAATAATTTATTATAAGGGGGGAAAATGTTGGTTGACTGAAGTGTTGCCCATTAAATATTTAAGTAATGTGTGGGAACTATATTTTTCTAGTTTATATTGTAATTTCATCCTATGCAGCTACGATTGATATGATTGATTCAAGTGTGTGAGGTACTTTTTTAAATTATAATTATTAGTAAAATTAATATTAGCTATTAGTTATTACTATCTGTAGCTGGCCATAACATGAAAAAAAAAATCTTCAAGGATTTTAAAGGGGTCCTATTATGCTCTTTTACAAAGTCTTGATTTTGTTTTGGGGGTGTACTAGAACATGCTCTCATGCTTGGTGGTTCGAAAAATGCATTATTTTTCACATAATTTACATTATTACAATACATTTCTCCCCAACCTGGCACAAACGGCTCGATTAGTTCCGGGTTTGATGAAGGTCCGCCTTTCGAAAAACGAAATGTTGATGTGATTGGTTAGCTTTCCCAGTGCATTGTGATTGGCGAACAGCTTAGATGTGTTTCAGTACTGCCACGCCCCTTGCCAAAGCAGCAAGTTCCGTCTGCTCCGGTTTAGTTAAGCATGGCGTCAATATTACCATATCAATTTCAGCCGGATTCAGACCCCGAGAATATTGAACAAGAGGATCGCGCAGAACCTTTGCACGCACGGATATTGCAAGACATATTAGAGTGGTAACGTTATTGTTGATGTTGTTGTTGTTTTTTTGCTAAATCACGTTTTAGATAGGATGTCAACAACCGCTTAAAAGTAACTGCACAGATAAGTGCATATGTATTATTGTTCTTTAATTCTAACATTATAACATGAATTGCAGTTAAACTGTTATAAAGTTGTTGAATTTATTTATACCATAGTCCAGTGTTTTCCACAGATTTGTGGCGGCATATATATGCAAATTCATTCTCTGCCAGCAGGAGGCACTGTTGGAGTGGTAGAGATCAAGGTTTCCCCGGTAACGGCTGTACACAAAACAGCGCTCTGTTCACAAACGCTGCTTTAGCAGACATTACATACATGCAAGATGAAATGAAAATGACATCCAATTTTCTGAAGACAGTCGGTTTCCTTCAGAAATACAGTGATATAAAAACACCCGCACTCAATGTATAGGAAACCCTGTAGTCTCATAATTGAAGTGTAAATTCGGCAGATTACATCATTGTCCAGTATTGTTCTGTCAGCAATTTATTATAAAAACGTTTTCATTATTGTAACATACATATTTACATACATAATTATTCAGGTGCATGTGTAATAACTTGCGAAAACATGACGCTACAGCAGCACTTCTTCGTCGTCCTCTTGTCTGATGCACTCAACCAAGCGTTCTAACCACGACCTCGTCCCTCCCCACCCCCCAACTATTCGAATTTCCATAGGTGGGAATTATTTTAATGATATTCTAATGGACCGCTTTGTGACATCACAAACCCTGGAAAACAACCGCTGTAGTCCAAACGAGCCGTTCGTTGTAGTTCTTAAAAAGGGATTTTTAAAAAAACAAAATATCTCTCTCTGGAGTGGACTTTGAGATTTGTAACTTTGTAGATCTTTTTTATGCCCAAACATACACACTACACACTGACTAAAATACAAAAAGTGAAAAAGCATAATAGGACCCCTTTAATATAACTGCACCCTAATATTAATTTAATTTATAATTCCACATGTGTTTTTTGTGGTATTAACAGTGACAATTAATTAATCAATAACTAAATGACAATTAAACAAATTAATAATAATAAAAAAAAACTCAAAATTTACATTCCTTAATATTACTGATTCCTGCAGCATTTTTGCACTCAATGTGGACACAAAAATGTTGTCACATTGCACTTGGTTAGGACACAGTGTGATTGAAATCCATTGGGAGGCTTTTTCATATCATTGGTGTCCCGTGTTGGGGGAAGGGGGTGGTAATGTTGAGGGGTGGCTGTAGTTTTGATACAATAACTAGCATTCTCTACTGAGTTGCCATATGCTCTCTGGACTGCAGCCGAGCAGCAGTGCTGCTGTGAATTAAACATATGCCTCTGAGGCATATCAGTGTGGTATCCAACAGTACGCGTGACTGATAGAAGCTAATGAGGCTACAGATACTATAGACTCACAGCGCACTTCCAGATACACGGGCTGCGCCGTCTCTCCGATGGCGTTGCGGGCGGTGCAGAGATACTCGCCGGCGTCGGTGTACTGAGCGTACTTCAGGGTGAGAGAAGACACACGGGCGTCACTGCGGACCAACACGTCACCATCAGGACTCTAAAGACAGAGACAAGAGGGGAAAATTCACTGAAAAAATCATGCTTTTCACTTCCTTCAGCCATTAAAACAATAGCTTCCAACTGATGAATATTCTGTCATCGGTTGCTCACCCTCATGTTGTTTTAAACGCATAAAGCTTTATTTTCTTCTAGCACCACAGGCTGTCAAAACTCCAAAAAAAGCAGCATAAAAGTGGCTGTACGGCTTCAATAGACTTTAAATATAGCACAAAAGACAAATGAACAATTTTTGTTACTTTTATAGTGCTTTGATACTTTATTTTTGTCCTTTTTGGAGCTTCTTGTCACAATATGCTTTCAATTTGTGGTCAAGAGCAACTCTAGATTTTGGAAAACACATCAAGATGAATAAATGATGACAGAATGTTAATTATGGGTTAACTATTCCTTAAAATTAATAAACAGGTTTGCCATTATCTTCCTAAACGTATTACATAGTTTGCAAATAACTCCACTTCAATGAAAAAAAAAAAGTTCTCTGCTTTCAGAGAAAATGGCCTTTTGAAAAATTTGTAATTTTTAAGTATGTGAGGACTGAAACAGGCTGTATCAGAGAAGCAAACCCGGTAAAAAAAAAAGTGGTTTGCTGAACAGCAGATATAAATAAGAGTCTTTCATGTGCTGAATCTTTGGAGCGAAGATGTGAGGGGGGAACATCAATAATACAGAACATAAGGTAGGGGAAGCCATTTCTACAACACTGTTACTTCATCAAAAGCTCCGTCACATGATCTCAGCTGGCTTGGACCATTTTACAACGTCCCAGTGCTCATTTTAAAGACAAGCATAGATCTTAACATGCCACACTTGCATTTTCTTTTAGCTTGCTGTTCCACTTAACCTTGTGGTTCTTATGAAGATAAGTGGCATCTATAACCAACGTCTACTCAGTGACTGTGCAATTTGCATATAGCAGGGGTGTCAAACACGCGGCCCGCGGCGGGGAGGATACAGCTTGTGGAGGAGTCTTAACCGACCCACG